ACGGCTTCGTCATATCGGATTGCCATCCCGGACACTTCTTGCCTCCTGGTTCCTCCACGAGATTCCTCTCGCGGCTAGCAAGCTCTACGTATGGTGAATATCGTACTGGAGGCAGTCGTCAATGCACTCTTCTGACTCTGCTCTGTTCATAGTGCGACATAGCTCCGGCAAGGTAGCCAATCGCATTTCCCGGCTCGAATCCAATGACAAGGCTGAAATACTTCAGGGCGTCCTGAGGCTGATTGAGATCGCCCCATATCGTTGCATGCTCATTGTGCCAGTCGGTACATACCAATGGTCCTTTCACGCAGAACGCCTGGAGTGAAGGAGGCCGAATACGTTCCGGCAGCCGTTTCAACCATCTGCGCGAAGGCTCCCCGTCCGGCGAGGAACGAACTGCACCGCGATCGCCGCGATGAACGCCAGCAGAGACAGCCAGAAGCCGAATTTCCAGTTCACCTCTATGCCCGCGTCCTCGAGCTCGCCGATACCGACCCCCATCTCCGACGCAAGCGAGAGGAGCGTCAGAAACAGAAATCCCAGTATGCACACGATGCCCGCACCGGCTATGCCCGCCCGTATGTAGCTGCCCTGGTGCCTGGCAGGAAGAAGAGCGCGCCTCCCGCGATCGCCAGCAGCGCCGCAACGTATAGCAGCGCGGCCTCGCTGCCAAGGGCGTCGCCTATGCCGTAGTCGCCGTCTGCCACGTCGGACGGGATGTCGTCGACCTGCGTGATTCCCATTATGTCGGCGCCGGACACGGTGACCAGCTCCTCGCCGAAGCAGCTGATGGACATCCAGGGCAGGAAGAAGAAGAGAATTACCAGTAGGAAGAGCGCGGATCCAGAGAGTCCCCGTATCAGCGGCAGCTTCGCTCCGGACTGGCCGTTGGCCTCGATGATCCTGTTCCACCAGCCCCGCTCGTGGCCGAATGCCGCGACTCCTGCAGCGACTATGGCGGCGCCTCCCAGTATGCCAAGCCAGCCAAGGATCTCCAGAACGAAGCCGACGATGCTCAGGAAAAGATCTGAGCGCACGAGAAGCCCGATCGCCAGCACGACCGCGCCGAAGACCACCAGGCTCAGGTAGCCGTACTTATCGTGCAGAGGGTTGAGACTCGCGGAGTTTCTCCATAGATTATCCTTTCATTCAGGGCTGGGCCCGTCAACACTGACCGGTGAGGGCCTTTCAGACTGGGGATAGTCAGTAGATGTAGCTCCACTTCCGCCATAGCGGGCTGTCGTGATGGACTGTAGCGTCCACGAACCGGCCGTCGACGTTCAGGTCGACGATTTCTACGTCAACGGGTTCGTACTTGTCTGACTCTTCGAAGTTTTTCTCGAGGTTGTCGGACTCCGATTGGGCGTCCTCGCCGGTTCGATACAGCGTCGTTATGACGGTCTTCATCGGCGTATCGGCATAGTAGGTGTGATAGGCGGTCGCCTGACAGTTCATCCTGTATCGTACGTCGCTCGCACAGTAAGTATTGACGGTGTTTTGCGTCTGAGCGTCCAGGCGCCCGGTCTGCTTCCACTTGTCGCCTACGCGCGTCAGCACCTGCTGCATGGCGCTGTCACTCTCGTCGGAACCGGCTCTGCTCTGCTCATACAGCGTCTCTCGAACCGCGTCGATGTCCCCCATCAGAACGTAGCCCTCTTCCGTGAGGAACGCGGCCGCAAATTGGTCCAGACGACGAAACTGCTCATTGAGAACCTGTTTCTCCCAGGTCTCGTACTCGCCGGACATGCGCGAAGCGAAGCCCTCCTCCTCCAGTTTGTCCCCTGATGGCATCGAGGTCGATCCTCCCGTCAAAGACGAAGAGTCGGGTATCTCCGACGCGCCCGACTTTTCTGTAGGCGCAGCAGTCCACCAGGACCGTGACGAACTGGTCCACCTCCTCAAAGTCGATGCCGAATCTCTGAAAGTCTTCCTGCATGCTCTCGAATCTCTCACGAGGTCATCGGGGAGGTCCTGCTCTTGGTATGTCTTCACGTCGTATATCTCTATTTCGAATGCGTCTCCGGCGACGATGCTCAGCGGGTCGCCGCCTTCTCCCAGTTCGCCGCCGCCGCCACATGCTGCGGTGAGCGCCGCTGCCAGGGCCAGGGTGAGCAGCGTCAAACAGACAATCAGGTTTTGCGGTTGAACGGGCGGATATGTGACGGCATTGCGAATTCTCCTTGTGTTCTGTATGTCGGCTTGATTGCGCCGGCTGCTGCCAGCGGCGTTGGGACGCGCGCAGACACGCTCCGGATCACGGAATGCGGCAAGAGGGGAAATGACGACTAACCGAGATAGGCACACGGCACGGCCGGTCGAACCGGCGTCGGAATGCCTTGAGTGCAGCTAGAAGGTCAGCATCATCCTCGCGCCAGACGAATCGTCAGAGCAGTTGCGGGGGACGCAGTCCGGCTGCGGATGATGGACTGATGAGGTCGGTGGTGAGAAGTGTCGTGCCCATATGAGGTTGCCCCTTTGCGGTACAGGTTGCGCAGTGCTACACGACGCTTCCTCCTATACAGGCAACCGCGCAGGGGCGCAGAGCGCCCCCTGGCAAGGAATAACCGCGGGATGCGGCTACTCCAAGCCTGTATAGGACTTGTCGGTAGCAGGGGAATGCTACTTTCGCGTTGAGTGCTTGTCAATACCCAAGGCTCAACTGAAGCAGCAGCGACGGATCGTGTAGAGCGGGAAGAAGCTATGAAGGTTCGTACCCATTTATGACGATCTAGCGGCCGGCAGGGGCGGAGAGAAAGTCCTCACACCCGGCGTCCGGCCTTTGCTAGACTGGATATTAAGTCCAATTTTTATCCTGGCTTTAGGAGGCAGGACAATGATGACGGAGTCGTACACCGAGACCATAAGGGGCAATGTCGAGTCGCCCTACGACTACCCCGCTGCTGAGCGCCGAGTTCGCATTTTCGAGCATTGAAGGGGCGCACGCGCACACGCATCAGGCGAGACACGTCGGAGTGGAAATGATCATGGCAGCCGGCGTGAACATCTCCTGAGCATAGGTCGACTGTCTCAGAACGATCGATGCCGTAAGTCGCGTTGAGTATGTGCCCATGGACCTCCATAAAAGCATGCTAGACGAAGATATCGTCAAGTATGCGCTTGAGCACAAGGCGCTCATGGTCACACGCGACTAGGCTGTTTGTTACTACCCGGCAAAACAGTCGAAGGAAGATTACCCTTCGTCTTCATCATTCGCCACGAGCACTTGGGGGAGAGTTACGGATGGGATACGGGCACCAGATATACCTGGGACAAGGACTTTGACCGAGCGGCGCTCGCTGACGCCTTCAAGGACATCAGAACGCTGATTCAGCGGACGGAAATCAAGGTCGTTGGCCCGGAGGGCAGACCCAACTCATTGCCGATTGTCGAAGATGACCGCATCGAATTCAATGGCGCCAATTACAACTGCGTCTGCGACAAAGGCGACAGTGAGGAATTGTGTCCGCCCGAGTGCTTGATCGAAAATCGGAGAGACCAGCAGCTGCGTGGCTTTCTCAGTCGATGTCAGACCAGAAGAGCTCGCGCTCCACAGGCTGTACGGAAATGCATACTCATTTGACTGGAAGACGAACCGCTTGCCGTACGACAAGATGGGATGATGGCGATGATCGCGTTGAAGCATCACCTTGGAGACTCGGTCATAATAAACTCCAAGGGCCGATGGAAGATCGAATGGGGAGCAGGGTTCGCAGTGCCCGAGTGCCTCTCGAAAAGTGCGGTCGGGACCTATGAGTACGTGTTTCCCGAGCGCGCCCCAGTGCAGAATATCCTGGATAGAGAGGGTGGGGGCTGGTAAGAGTCTCCATCACATAGAGCAGGAATCCCTCGTTGCCGGACTCCGGCGCGGAACAGCATGGCGAAGAAAGGTTGGGACAGCAGCAATGAGACTGATATGGGGAAACTATGACCCCAAAACGAACATGTTCGCGAAGACCGAGCTCGTGGACCTGCTGGTGAGCGAGGGCGCCGAGACAAGGGCTGAGGCGATGCGACGCCTGGAGATCGCAGGAGAGGACGATCTGATCGCGTTCCTCACGGACTGCATCACTCATTACAGTCCTGAACTCAGGTCCGCCGCGGCCCGCGTTCTGACGCGCATGGGTGACGATAGCGTCCTGTCCCACTTTATGGAGCAACTTAAGGACCGGGACTTCCACGCGATGTATGAGGCTAAGAAGGCCATACTGGCGTTCGAAGACTCCCGTCCCCTTATTCGCTATATGCAGCGCTACTTGGATCTGGGGTGGGACGCGGGACTCGCAGCCCGCATCGATTCCATCGAGGCTCTGGGAAGACTTGGAGACGAGCGCGCGATTCCCTGCCTGATAGTCGCGCTGTACGAAGGAGACGAAAGCGCGCGCATCGCGGCTGTGGACGCGCTTGGCAGGTTAGGGAGTGAACGGGCCGAGAGCGCTCTCACTGCATTACTCAATCGCAGCAATAGCGAAAGCGTCATGACTGCTGCCATTCGGACCATCAGGCGCATTAGGGGTGACAAGCCACTTGTGAGTCTGAAAGAGGAGCTGCGGGCATCAGGGAACGAGGAAAGAATTGTCAGCGTCAGGCTGGAAGACCTGTGCCGCATCGCCGACGCGATGGGCACGATGGTCCACGACCTGGACACGGCAAGACAAGCATCTGCGTATCGATCTGGCGCAAAATTCACGATGTAGTCGAGAAGTGGGTCGCCGACGAAGAGGTGCTGGGTGGTGGCTGCCACGAACATCGATGTCGGCTATGTCGAGAGTCTGGCCGTGTGTGGTGAGAGTCAGTACGCCTGTCAGATACGGTCTGATGGAGGCGTCAAACAGTGTCGCAGAAACAAGCACACCGAGAAGAAGTTTCACTCCCCCCAAGCTCGTCTAACACGCGCTTCAGCAAATGAGTGTAAAATGGATTGGACGAGTGTTGAGCGCACCATTTTGTGAACTGCCCACTCATCAGCTCACATCAGCTCATCCGTAGAGAGGACTGCCACGATGACACTCAGAGTCACGCTTTCAAACGATGTAGCTGACTATCTGGAGAGGCAGAGCCAGGCGCTGAACAAGCCCTGCGACCAGATAGCAGACGAACTACTTCGCCGCGTTATGTCTTCTGAAGCCGAAGCGATGGGCGCTGCCACAATGGACGAATCCGGCGACTCTGAGCTCACTGGGGAGTGCCTTAATCAGACGCTCGACGAACTGTACGTGGACGACTATTTCGAGAAGATGCGCCAGTGATAATTCCGGACATCAATCTTCTCGTGTATGCGCACAATCAGGACGACGCAAGATACGAGGCTGCGCGTAGTTGGTTGAGAGATCTGATCGAGGGTGAAGAGAGCATAGGGATCCCTCTCGCCGTCTCCGTAGGATTCGTCAGACTGGCCACAAATCCAAGAGTGATGTCTCCCCCGATGACCAGTGGACAGGCCGTCTCAATTGTCAGAAGCTGGTTGCAGAGGCCGAACGTCGTGCCATTGGACGCTGGGCCTGATCACTTCGACCACCTCCAGGAGTGCCTTGAGGCCGCGGGCAGGGCCGGCAGGTTCGTAACCGACGCCCATCTTGCTGCGCTGGCGCTGGACCATGACGCCGAATTCATCCGCCGATCAAGACTTTCAGACATTTCCAGACGTTCGATGGCACTATCCGCTATGAGCATGCCCCGATGACCTCGGAAAGCCTCTTCGCGGCATCAAGTCGTGATGCAAGAAAATAGTGAAATTTGTTGCATCCCGTTTTTGGGAGCTTTAGCAGGAGAGACTATGCCGTAGAGACTGTGCCGTTATTCGCCGCGCAGACGCCTCAGTTCAGCTTCTAACTCGGCCACGCGAGCTTCAGCAGATCCGGCGCGCTCGTGCGCCACCAATCTGTCGGCTGCCAACTCTTCGGGAGTCAGCAGAAATTGCCCGCTCTCATGGTTTCGGAAGCGCAGCGTCCCCTCCTCCCACCAGAGTTCCAGCTCCAATATCTCGCTGTATCCCCAGTGCCTTCCATCTGACTCGGCGACAATCTCTATGGGGGTGTACTCGCCATTGATCAGCGTGTCGCCGGCAAGAGGCCTGTCGTGATACTCGCCACCCGACGGGTCGAAGCGCCAGTATTCCCGGATGCCGAGAGCGGCGTAACCTTCGCGCTTTACGGTATAGTCGCGCCTGCCCGTGCTGCGCGAGCCCACCTCCAACACGAGATCGGGTGGCTTGCCCACCTCGCTTATCACATATCCGTTGCGCCGGATGACCCTCTCGGGGGGACTGACCTGCCTTGCGAAAATGAAGTCGGGAGCCAACTCCCTCGCGTCCTTCTCATCGAAGCGTACATAAATCTCTCCGGTGAGCAGAACGTTGTCGAATGCGGCGAAGTGAGGACCCAGCGTACCGTCGATTGTGGAGAGACTCTTCCGCTGCACCATATCAGGCTCCCGCGGCGGGTCGGGCAGCGGCTCTATGTGCGAGTAGTCTTCTGAGTGCGGCTGCGCCAGAGTGGTTTGGGTCGTCATAACTGGACTCTCCGTGATGCTCGCTCACTGAAATCCTCTATGGGGTGAAGTGGTTCAGTCCATTATATCACTGCCGGCCAATGGAGTTGGCAAAGTTCCTGTGTTCTCTACAGGCGCTGATTAACTCAGTTCGGAACAGACTCCTCAGCGGTGCTGCAGTCCCTTGATTCACGGACGAGTGCAGCACTTCGCTGGAGTGTTGCGGTGGGGAACAGATGAGAGCAAAATGTTGCATCACCCTTGAATGCTAAAATTGCATCATCATGAATTACCTAGTGATCTACTCCTGGCGCTAATTGACAGAAAAACATTAAGGGACATTTGGCGAGTGGTTGAACAAGTGAGATGACCAAGGGGAAGTTGGAATAGTTGGATAAGAAAGTCCTTTACCTCTTACCAGACACCAATCTATTCATCAATGCGCGCCACTGCATGAAATCGACTGGGCAGCTTGTTCAGACTTCGCTGAATCCCAAGAGATTCAACTCCTTGTGACGAACCCCGTCCATCGAGAAATCGACAAGATGAAGAACAGAGAAAATGACCGGATTGGTCGGCAAGCAAGAAAGGCTAGCAGCGATTTCAGGGAGATAGTCACCTCGGGGAAAGACATAGCAATCATGGAAGGAGGCCCCGGCACAATGGTACTTGGAGGGTATGAGAAGCATGTCCTGGGACCGCGAAGGGAAGCAGAGGAGCGGGCTAGGCAGGCAGAGGAGCGGGCAGAGGAGCGGGTCAGGCAAGCCAATGCGAAAGGGAAGGCTTGGAACGAACGCCGACTGCAAGCCGAGGCGCGCGGCGAGCCGTTCGACGAACCGTTCCCCGGCATTGAAGATGCGAAAAGAAGAGAGGCCATCGAGAGCACCATCCTATACCGCTTACAACGCCACTGGGTGTGGCCACACATAATGATTCTTTTCTTGGTCTGCCTAGTGATAGACCTGGTGGCCCTGGGATATGGGATCGTGTGGCTCGTGAAGTACGTCGCTGGCTTTGAGAGCAGCGGCATCATATTCCGGATAACGGCGGGGTCCCTGCTTCTGATTGGAGCCTATGGGCTTTTGTACAAATTCTTCAGGTGGTGGTACAGGCGTTAGGACATTTGAGAGCCTCCGCAGACGTCAACTTTGCGGAGACTCTTCTCGTTCAGCAGGTAATTTATCTCCCCCATCGAACAGGTGGGATCGCCCACAGGTCTTAGAGAGCTACGCTAGAGCAGAAGGGTATGGCAAAGGGTGATTTGCAGTTCGTAGCGCTCCCAGACGCCAGCAGCGCGTCCGTTTGAAATCATAAAGTCACTGAAAGGTGATGCAGGAGCGGGCGAGATCACTTACGTCGCCGTTGAGACGGCCGATTCGCTCTTCGGCTGGAAAGTGGCCAACAACATCGATTATGTGCGACTCTCCGTTGGCGAAGACTACTTGCTGTTTCTGAGAACAATACCATCTTGGCAAGAATTCGAAGGCCAATACGGAGGTGTCGCCTGGGTCCATGAATTCGAACCCTCCATCGCACAGGTTGATCCGGATACTGGAAACCTTCGGTTCAAGACGACGAAGAGATATCAAAGCGATACAGGTGTATTGTCGCCGTCGGGAGCTCCGTTCCGATTGAATAGAAAGGAAATATTGGAGTTGGTGTCGACAGAGGCGATAGAGAGTGGAACGAAGTAACCTGCTTTGGTGCCGGATAGAGGAGGCAATCTTATGCCATGCCCCTATCGAGCTCGCTATACCTCAATTTGAGCCCACATTCATTCACAGAATCGAATGCAAGGATTTCAGTAGAAACGTTGCATTCGAACAACTCTCCCCTACCTGAGCAAACTCCTTAAACTGGACAACCTACACCGGTGTTGCAATGATGTATCGGTGAAAGCCTTGCACGGTGTCTGACTCAAGGTTTCACGTTGCGAGAACTCACGTGCCGATGGTATGGTAGATACTCTAATAGCATATCTACCCATAGGAAATCTCATGAGCCTTAACATCAAGAACGAAGAGACACATCAACTCGCCAGGGAACTTGCGGCTCTCACCGGCGAGAGCATGACAGGCGCGATCACAGTTGCGCTCAGGGAGCGCCTTGAGCGAGAGACACACGAGCGAAGCGTGGAGACTCGGGTGCAGGAGCTGCGCTCCATTGCTCGACGATGCGCCAGGTTACTGGAAGATGGTCCGTCTGCGGTCGAGCATGGTGACTACCTCTATGGCGAGGACGGGCTGCCCAGGTGATCGTGGATACATCGGCGGTTCTTGCGGTACTGTTCGACGAGCCGGACGCAGAGCGTTTCACGAGGGCAATAGCTGAAGCTCCTCACTGTCGAATGTCAACGGCGAACTTCCTGGAAGCGGCGTTAGTCGTGGAGGGGCGCGCAGGGTTGGTCGGCGGGCAGGAACTTGACCTCTTCATCGAAAGAGCGGCGATAGAACTGGTGCCGGTCTCCATTGAACATGCGCAGGCTGCGCGCCGGGCGTGGCGGAGGTTCGGCAAGGGCAATCACTCTGCGGGCCTGAACTTCGGGGATTGCTTCGCGTACGCTCTGGCGGAAGTTACGGGAGAGCCGCTTCTTTACAAGGGCGAGGACTTCGCGCTTACGGACGTGGAGTCTGCGTTGTAGCTGCATGGAGGTTATCGCAAAGGAATGGCAGTGATCCAAATGACGACCCCCCAGCACTTACTCGTCGGCACACACCTCGGGGGCGTTAGCCCAAAGCACAAGACGGCGTAGCAGCCAAGTGCCAGAAGCGCATGCAGGAGTACCTCATTCACTTAATCAAGTATATCGTTCCCCCTCGAAGAATAATCCAAGCAAATGACCGATTTCTCGTTCTGTCAAGTGATCGTCGAAATCCCATGAGGTGAACTGCATGCCGCTCAAAAACTACTCCACCAACGTACCTGTTTCGCGTTCTGTCGGCCAGATCACCGGCACACTCGTCAGAAAAGGCGCAAACCAGATCGTGACAGAGTACAACGAACGTGGTCAGCCTAGTGGCCTGAAGTGGGCACTGGACAGCCCGTATGGTCGCCTCGGGTACATGCTGCCGGTCAACTATGACGCGGTGTTTGAAATACTGACGAACGACGGCATCAAGAAGCGGGATGCAGAAGGCCGCATGGAACAGGCTCAGAGAGTCGCATGGCGCATTCTCAAGGACTGGATTGAGTCGCAGATTGCTCTGATGGAGTCTGGGATGGTATGCATGGAGGAGGTCTTTCTGCCGTACATGCTCGCCGGCGACAGGACGGTTTACGACGCTCTCGTATCGCAGGAATTTCGCGCTCTGTCGAGTATAGGTAGTTCAGCCATCGCGTTGCCTGGGCCGACCGATAACCTTTATGCTGAGCGCGATTCGCATCAAGGGTCATTTAGTTGATTAACCATGAAAAGACCCTTCTGGAGGAAATGGGATGACAGAGGAAGTAAGAATCACGTATAAGCGAAAACCGGGAGCTGGGCCGAACTACCCAAAGGAATCAGACCTGCCTGCCGACGAGGGTGCTTATACCGCCCCTTGCAACAATTGCGAAGCATGGTTCTTGGAGAGCGACCTGTACAAGACAGCGGAGGTTATCTGTCCGCATGGAGGTCCTAAGATTTCTCAGTCAATCTCGAAGGATGCGTACGAGTTCAGCGAGACCTTTGTTCGCCAAATCCACGCGGGTGACGAAATAGCGCTGGTCTTTCTCTGCGACAACTGCAAAATACGAGGGTGAAAAGGAATGTTATAGATTGGTACGACGACTTCAACGCCAAAGACAAAAAGGCTGGCGCGCACCACCGAACACCCGCTATTGTGGGCGACCCGGCCGCTACGCGAACCCATACGTGGTGGGGCATCACAGAACAGCGGAAGAGGCTGTCGCCGCCTATCGACACGCGTTGGAGAGCGGCCAGTTGGAATACAACGAAGACGACCTGCGCCGCGAACTGTCTAAGTACGACTTCGCATCCTGTTGGTGCAGGGAAGGTGCCCCATGCCATGTGGATGTCATCGTGGAAGTTGTGAACGCAGCGTAAAAGGATTGACTATCACGATCTGTAATGGGGAAAGACCCTGAGAATTCTGGCTGAATCCCCGGCGGATGTACGATCTGGACGTGGCTCAGGCCACTACCTTAGATTCTCTCTAAGTTATGGTCGGCGTCGTGGACTGTCCATTCCAACCTGTCACCTGTCGGATTGTAGTCCATGCGCCATCGGTTCAGGACATCGCGCCCAAGTAAGGAAGGCAGCTCTCTATTGTTGCTCGTTGGAGCGGCTATTAGTAGGTCAAGTCGGTAGATTCTCAGATAAGACTCATCCTCAAACAGAAGGTTCGCTGCCTCTCTGAAGTATGCAGACGTTCCGCCAATACCAAGATAGTCAATCCTGTTACCCAAACGCTCAAACGGAATCCCGGCTCTAATAGCATCAGCCGGATGCAGGCAGGTGGCAGAAGCGCCGGTGTCAACCAGAAGCATCAAACGGTGATTGACGCTCAAGCGTGGGATGACGAGTCTACATTCGACCTGTGGTCGTCCTCTGTCGAAATTGCCTCTAATCAAAGAATCAGCGTCTCCGGATTGGGGTCAAGGTATTCGACTATCACATCGGCGGTACTGACGCCCTTTGCTTCGGTGGCCGAGACGACCTCTTCAATTGAGTCGCCGATTGACACTACGCCATCCTTACCCATCGAAACCCATCTTTCGGGATGTTTCTCGATCAGCAACTCGCGTTCAATCCACAATCGGCTGACCGCCTTGCGGAAGTCGTTAGGATCGTCTCGAAGCGCTTCCGCGCCGCCCAGGTGAGCGAGCAGTTCTTCAAAATAGTCTTCACCTGGTCTATCCGACGACTTTGTGAGCATGGCGCTTTCCTTTCACTGTTCCTTGCCCTATCAGAATACCACGTCGGGAATCACCGCGAGAGGGAATTATGTTGATGTTGTCGACGGTCCACGCAGAATCAACGGAAATCCCCAGGTCCAGCTTGCTTTTGCATGTGCTCTGCCATCTACCTTACCCCAAACCGAATAGATGAAATGTGCTAAAATATGTTTTTCACCGTAAATGAAAGTGACCCGCGATGGCATTCCGATTCATTCATACCGCCGACTGGCAGATCGGCAAAGTCTTTCGCTTCGTTGATGGCGCGGAAATGGGCGGCCTCCAACTGGCACGGCTGGAGGCGATCACGCGCATCGGCAAGCTCGCCGAGGAGCACAACGCGCGCCACGTACTGGTCGCGGGTGATGTTTACGATCACGCAACCCCCTCCCCTTACACGCGCAACCAGGTCGTCGAGCGAATGCGGGCTCACACCTCCGTACAGTGGCATCTGTTGCCAGGAAACCATGATCCGTACCAACCCAATGGACTCTGGGACCAGCTCCGAAGGCGTGGCTTGCCCGACAACGTCCACGCGCATACTGAATCGGCCGGCACAATCATCGAGCAAGATGCCGCCGTCCTGCTCCCGGCCCCACTCCAGCATCGTCGTACCCTCAACGACCCCACCGCATGGATGGACAATCATCTCAGCGAAGCCGGCTTGATCCGCATCGGGCTGGCGCATGGCGCCGTCTACGGCTTCGATACCGATGAGGAGCAGAGAGCCAACCCAATCGATCCCACGCGGCCACAGCTCGCCCGGCTTGACTACTTGGCCCTAGGCGATTGGCACGGAGAGCTTCAGGTCAACGAGCGCTGCTGGTACAGCGGCACGCCCGAGACGGACTCGTTCAGACGCGCGGCAGGGGCACGACGCTGCTGGTGGAAATCGACGGCCCGAACGAGTTGCCCCAGGTCACCCCGCTCTCGACAGGTCAATACCACTGGGAATCGCTCAATGAGCGCGTGGAGGACCTGGAAGACGTAGATCTCCTTGACCACAAACTGCGGAACCTGAACGGCGACCTCAACCACACACTGGTCGATCTGAGGCTCTCCGGAGCGCTTTCACTGGCTGACCTCCTGCACTTCGAGGAACGGATCGTCGAAGGGGCGGCCGCAGCGCTCTATCATCTCCGCATCGACCGCGAGCAGCTGTTTCCGGAACCCACCGACGACGACCTGGACAGTATTGACCCTGGCGGGATTGTCCGCGCCGCTGCGGACAAGCTTCGAGCTACCGCCGACTCAGGCGGGAGCGACGCCGACCTCGCTCGCGCCGCTCTTCACCGACTCTACATCGAACACAAGAAGCTTGAATCGGGGCTACGATGAAGCTGCGCAAGCTCTCAGTCAACCAGTTCAAGCGCTTCACCGAGCCGACCCAGTTGGGCGAACTCTGCGACGGTCTCAATCTGGTCGTTGGGCCGAACGAACTTGGCAAATCGACCCTGCTGGACGCGCTTCGAGCAGTGCTGTTCGAGCGCTACAGTTCCAGGGCGCGGCCAATCATGGCATTGCAAAACGACCGCAGCGGCGCGGCGCCGGTCGTGAACTGGTCTTTGAAGTCAGCGGCGCTGAGTACACGCTGACCAAGCGCTTCGTCAAGAGCCCCTATGCGCGGCTGCAATGTCCCGATGGAACACTGCTCGAAGCGGACGCTGCCGAAAACAGGCTGCGCAACCTTCTGGGTTTCGCCGAGGCCGGCAACCGGGGCGCGACTTCGGAAACGCTTGGCATGTGGGGCGTCCTCTGGGTGCAGCAGGGACAGTCATTCGGTAGACCGGATTTGCCCGATTCGGCGCTGGCGAGTCTCAGCGCTGGGTTGGAGTCCGAAGTCGGCACGGTCCTCGGTGGCCGGCGTGGCAGAGAGCTGCCGCAGGTCATCGAACAGCGGCGGGGCGAACTGGTTACGGCCGCGCGGCGTCAACCGCGCGGCGAGTACAAAGACTCGCTTGAACACGTCAGTGAGTTGGAGCAACGCCTCGTCGAGCAACAACAGCAACAGCTGGAGATGTCGGAGACGCTCCAGAAGTTGGCGGTGGCGGAAGAACGGCTCACGCGGCTGGAGGACGGCACTCAGGATCGAAACGATCAGGAAGAACTGACCCAGGCCCAGGAACAGCTTGGCGAGGTGATGCGGCACGACTTGCAGCTCGAAGCGGCTCGCAGCGAACTGCAGAACCGGCAGGGACAGCTGGAGCAAGCCCAACGCGCCCAATCCGAGCGCGCATCCCGGCGTGAAGAGCTCAAAACCGATCAGGAACAGTTGCGCCAGGAGACCGAGCGCCTGGAGGAACTGCAACAACGCGAACGAGAATCGTTGGTCGCATTAGACGAGCTTCGCCAGGCTGCGACCAACGCCGAAGCAGCCGTTGAAGCAGTGATGCAGTCAGAGACGAGCTG